ACTGGCTTGAACGTTTAAAGTTCATTTCTTTAGATTTGTTTACTGCCAGTATTCAAGCATAGCCCACTGACTAATAATAAAATAACTTCTGCCTAATTTCTACTAAATTAATAAACTCAGTAAAAATTAGACAAAAGTAATTTTCTTTATTCTATATTATCATTATATAATCTTACTACCTCAGTTGATGAAATTGTATTGAATTTTATCCATTTGTCTGTATGCTCAGAAGAAGATTGGTATAGACGACAAATGATTGAAGCAACACCCAGACAGACGTACTTATGGAAAGACATGGTGGCCTCAACCAGATATTATGTAGTGGTTATACTCAGCGGTGGTTGAATTCCTCAAAATATATATGTTTCTATGGTAGTCAAACATGAAACAAGCTATTGTTATTGATAACAACGGAAGGAACCCAAATATGTGGAGGAACCCAATAATGATCACCGAGCATAAGTCACCAGGCACCGATGTGTGTTCATGCAATCTTACAATGCAGAGGTAATTATGATTCAATGCCTTAAAGAGATGAGCGAATCAATATTTTTACAGGGAGCCAAGCTGTACTTGGGGCATTGATTATCCCAAGAATGACAATGAGATTGACATGGAAATACTGTTCAAAACTATACGGACCGGATTAAATTGATACTGCAGTGGATGTCAGGACACTGACACAATGAAAAATTTCATTAGTATCCCAGACACTGGTCAACACTTCATTTATTGGAGATGTGATCAGTTGTGCTAGTACCATAATCTGTGGTACGGGATACGATCAGAGAAAATACACCTGAATATGAACATGAGAACCTATCATGAAGGAATAATCAGAAAAAAATGCAGCAGGCAATGCAATACAAACTAGTATAAGATTGATGGAATTTCATGTAAAGATGTTGGAAAAACACAATAAACCCATGAGGCAGCGGTACATTCAGGAAGGAACATCCAAGTCAAACAGCTGCTAAGTAGTACAAAATACTATTTGATAATACTCCCTATCAGACTAGTTTCGACGAGCTACTAGATTGAAAAAATGGTGGAAAACACAATAAACCTATGAGGCAGCTGTGCATTCAGGAAACTGAGAAGGAACGGCCAAGTCAAACGGCTGCTAAGTAGTAGCAGCCGTTTGACTATCAGCCTATCAGACTGGTTTTGACGAGCTACTAGATTGAAAAAATGAAAATTGTATTTAAGTATGGATGTACTCATTTCATTATCGCATGTTCCCGTAGATTTATATTCCAGAACCCGGAGCAACTTATTTTCAATGGGTTCTGAACTGTTCTTATACATATCTTACATTTATCGAAAACCTTTCTGAAATCTTCATAAATGGACGTGAGTCTGAGAGTCTATTCCAATATATTTTTAGGAGCGAACCCAACACTCCTTTCTCTTTTGATGACTTATCTAATGGTTACCGTAGTGAAATTGATTCTCACAAGGTATGCTCTGGACTGTTCATAGAACCCTTGATACTCACGACTATCCAGACAAGCAAAATCATAAAAATGGTGACTGGGGCTGCTCGCCACGCCAATGTCATCTTTTTGCGATATTGAATCTTCCTCCGACAATGTGCACTGTTTCGTCATCTCGTCATATTCGATGGACCTACAGAAATATTTTTCAGCTCGCACGCACATTGCTTGGCAGTCATCTAAAGTAAGGTTAGTGAACATGTCCACTTCGAAAGGACCACCTAGTCTTTTGTTTTCTTCTTTTATGAATACTGCTAAACCGTCGCACCTTCTTTCAGCTGAAAAATTTCAAAATTTTCTTCTGTTATGTCCTAACAACCATAGTGAAATTGATACTCGAAACTATGATCCGACTAGTGATGTATTAAAAATACTCCTTTATTCAAATTAATTCACAAATGATTATGAATAACCAAAAGACTGAACTTCTGTTCTATGTGTAATTGCAAACAAATATGTATATGTGAACAAGGTATAATATAGAGGATATCGAAATAAAGGACAGTTCATTGTTGTCACTGACTATTCTGGCAATATCTTGAACTTATTGGAGCCTCTGGAGACACCCTACATTTTATCCTATAAAAGAGAGGACATTGACACATTAAGATCTTCAGATTATTTGGTACTGCAGGTTTTTCCGGGTTTTCCTGCAGCTGAAAAAGCAAATGCGCCACTGGAACCAATCAAGTCGCCCCCGAGCGCCAATTAATTTCAGTTGATTAATATTTTCATAATTTGTATTACTTCATTTTTTTATATATTGTTGAAAATATACATTTTCTCACATGTTATACCCTTTTTTGCAAAACAATTGTTAAGTAGATTATTTGAGAGTTCACAATCTTCATTAGCATAATTTTGTCTGACTTGGATTAAATGTTTATGAAATTTCACAACATTCATTTGTCCCAACGTTCCTACATTGTAGAACCTGGTAGATGACTGCCGGAAAACAGATATTCATCCAAGTTACCACACAGAGTATTCTTGCAGATGTTTATTGTTCGATCACGCTGAAATCAATTGAGTAGATCACCTACATACTGGATTTGGGGAATTGCTTCCCGCTTGCAGAACGCTTTCGAATCAGCCTCCTCTTCCTGGAGATCCGTTTGGGAAGCTATTCTACCTCCGGATAATTTTGGGCAGAAGTTTCTTTTTTCAATACTGATTCTGGACACGACACGTTTTGTTAAGTTTTTGCAACAAATTTTGTGAATTGTAGTTATGCAATTTGTATGTTTATTCAGTATTCAATATTGTGTGGAGTCTTTTTGAAAGAAGTTCCATTGAAGATCATCATTCATTGCATAGATTGAGAATAATGTTCATAAGAATTTGAAAAATGAATGAGTATTGCAAGAAAATTTCAACTGTCAGGACAAGATGATTTATTGAACCCATCACTTGAAAAATGAAACAAAAAAAATTTGGGTACGTTGAAGTGATTAAGAATATTTGATGGTATAGTTTCTTGATAGAATGGATGGAATTCAGAAACGTGAATGGGTCCTTTTCCACCCTTTTCATTTTTTTTTATTTGTACTCAGTATGTGTGTATTTTTATAAACACTCAAGTAAAATAATTTTCACACGTTCATGTATTTTACCTATTGTGAACATTCGAAGATGAATATCATAGGAAACTATCTATATTACAAGAAAGTAAAAACTTTTTTTATGAAAATTATTACATTTTTTTAAATTATTGTTTCCAGAATATTCAGAATCAACACTATGACCTTACCATTGAGACAAGTGTTTTCCAAGTAATCAGAATCAGGATTGTCAACGAGAAGCTCCGGATGTGTCCTTCGAGTGAACCTGCTCAAAGTGCAAGTCCGCATGTTAGAGTCAAAAGTGGCAGACCGGCAAACAAAGCTGAATTCATTGAGACATTTATCTTCACACTCCGTTCTATTGGATGCAGTCATTTCTTTTATGTCGGGTGCGGGCAGTTTCAGTTTCTTGCGGGGATGTCTTTCAAAAATGTATCTCCTGTTTGGGCATTCCCTTTCGGGTCTATTCGCTAAAGAAAATATTGTTTTTCAGTTAGGTTAAATTATCAAATGTAAATGAAATTCAGTATGAATACGAAATATACTCAAGGGCGAAAACTAGACGAAATCATATTTAAAAAATGATTTAATGTCAGTGTTGGCAAGTTGACTTGGGTGTCACACCAATAGGTGGTTCCACTTATGTTTCGCTTGCGTTTACGCAGCTATTATATAAATGTATATAAAAGTCATGTATAAGTCACAATACACGGTTTGGAATGTCTATTAGACACAATCCATATGTGATGGAATTGGCCGATACTCGATGAAAATCTATAACCTCACTAGACAGTTTACAAAATTGCAATACATATTTCGTTATACAACAAACAGCTTTATCGAACGTTTATGTACGTTAGTATAAAATCTCACACTAAAGTGTAAGTTGAAAGAACAAATAGACCCAATCCCTTCGAATCTAGCCAGTTACCCACCAATTTTCCTTCAATGTTCTAAACAATCTAAACTATCTATCGATGTCAATGGAATCTAGCAATCTCAGGGTTATGGTTAGGAAAAGCTTAGAGTTAGTTGTTGGTGCTCAAAATAATGTTGAAGGCACCCATCTTACAACAATGGACTGAATAAACTGAGGAAACTGACCAGCGATGACTGAAGAATGAATAATGAATTATTAGTGGAAAAACATTTTTGAGTACAGACTTTTATTAACAAACACTGAAAAGAAGGAATTGAACTTTAGATTAAATCAAACCATCAATATACAAAATTCATTAGGAAAGGCGTAGGAACAATAATATATTAAGTAACNAAAATATGAGTTCAATGAAAATCACACTTCGGAGAGAGATATGAGAAATCGAGCCAATGGATAACTGGTACCGACCTAACTTGATAAATGAGCTTATCGTTACTTCGCTCAATTTACTCATTCATTTATATTCAATGGCACTGCAAACTCTGTTAAAATGTACCATTCCATAACGATACTTTCATCATATTTTGAGTCATTCACTTTGCAAGTTATTTATTTTATCATGTTTCATGTTATCAATCTTATTAAGGAATTGGTTCCGGTTACGATTTTTTTCATATCATCACGTATCACTTCTACTTTTTCGAATTGAATCTTTTCCCAAAATTGAAAATTGGAGTAATTTATTTTTATTATTTTCTGTATGTAATTCGAAACAATTCAAACGAATCATAACTTCATGAATTGCTCATTATTTCACGTTTTCGAATTGAATTGTGATAGTATTGACTGATTCATAAACAATAATAATAATTGATGTTATTATTTTCTTTTACTATATCAATATATCTCACAATGGAGGTAATGAAAGAATAGTGGTATTACTATTATCTAAACTTCTTCTGATTTACTGAGTGGGATCTTTTTAGATAAGAATATTCTTGATAACAAGCAATACAAAATTGTTGAAATATTTCAAGGTTTCGACCTGAGACTAAATTTCATTTCATAAAATAGAATACAATGACTTCAATATTTCCAAATAAAGAAGTTCATATCAAGTAATTTTCTGAGACTCGTTTCAGTGTTGCAGAATGTAACTTAGAAAATTGCTTGGAAAATTCGGAGACGGCTGGTAAAGGCTTTTTTCCTATCAAACAAAAAGTCTCCCCAAGTGATATTGAATACGATTTACTGAAGAAAACGTAACCAATACCGAACATACTATGTGAATCAAACATGGAATATCATAAAACTGACTACTGAAACTCGAAAGAAGTTAAAACAAAAACAAATTTCTCAGCTCCAGTAGGCAATATTATCTTTGAGTGAGATAATACAACTTTCAATAAAGTGTACGATAGAGATTTTTTTTGAATGCCCGAATAACCATTGGTTAGCTTTTTTATAGTGAGTCCCATTTGATATGGAAGCAGCTATATAAGACATATATTTTTTAACCGATTGATTTTTCTGGTCATCAGCTAGAACACGAGTTTTCGTTTACAAAGTCAACTTCTATTGATTTTCAATATCGAAAATCGAAAAACAAAGCTCTGTTACGCCAGCGACGCAAAGTATGGAAATCGCATTTACAAAATGCCAAAATTAGGTACTTTTAGGTGCTTTCTAGGTACCGAAGTCAAAAATTGGGTGCTCTGTAACTTACACCGCAACTCAATACTCAAAGTTGCGTTACTAGCATTATTTAATGCTGATTAATAAACAAAAGCTTCAATTTCGCTAAACAACAGATCTAAGAATCAGGTCTCTCGAAAACCAGGACGAATGCTCAATCAGGTATAAACTAAGCGTGGTAATAAAGTGCTAATTAGGTGCTTGCAAGAAATTAAGATGAAAACAACCGTGAATAAGCGAAAAAAAATCTGGAAAAAAAGTTAACAATATGCAATAAAGTCTTGAAATCCTCGTAAACTTATACATAGACGATTAAAATAAAGTGCTAATAAAGTGCTCACTAGATATTCATAGTAAACCTAAATTCTATAATGCCTATGGGGCTCATGGACCTGAAAACCACCATGACAGATGTACTGAGTTCTTATAGTACGTTCCTCAATGAATGAGATCAAGAAAAAAACTTATTAATACAGCATGGTTTTCACTATGAAGGGTTTTACAAAAACCGCGACACGTGTTTCGTTATACAATAGATTCCTCAAGCAGTTAGTTTGTGCTCCTCAATTTTAATAATTTAATATGATGTGAAGAATCTTTGCAGCAGTAATGAGATGTTCATTTTGACATATTGTTGATTCAGTTATTGCAACTTGCTCAACTGACAATATTTTTTCATTTTTCTCAATTTATGAAATTGATAATTTTTTATTGAATTTATCTAAAGTAAATTCGAATCAGTCATGGTAGTTTTCAGGTCCATGAGCCTCATAGCCATTATGAAATCTAGGTTTACAATAAATATCTAGTAAGCACTTGATTACTTTATTTTGATTGTATATGTATGAATTTACGAGCATTTCAAGACTTCATTGTATATTGTTAATTTTTTTTCTCAAATCAGGTATCCCGAATTTTTTCCGCTTATCCACGGTCGTTTTCATCTCAATTTCTTGCAAGCCCCTAATTAGCACTTTATTACCACGCTTAGTTTATACCTGATTGAGCATTCGCCCTGGTTTTCGAGACACCTGATTCTTAGATCTGTTGGAAGCTTTTGTTTATTAATTAGCATTACATAATGCTAGCAACGCATCTTTGAGTATTGAGTTGTGGTGTAAGTTACAGAGCACCTAATTTTTGACTTCGGTACCTAAAAAGCACCTACAAAGTACCTAATTTTGGCAGTTTGTAAATGCGATTTTCGTACTTTGCGTCGCTGGCGTAACAGAGCTGGAAAAATAGCGTTTTTTTTAATATGACCGTACTGGCTTCACATGGTTTTCAAATGGCCTCTGTCATAATTACGTCAAAAATAATTTTGCGGAAATGACACTCAAAACATATGCCATATGAGTTCTTGTGCATAGTCCTACTCGATTCATTTTGTTTGAGACAGTGTCATGAAAAATCGAGTGGAATTAGGTCAGGTGATTTAGGTGGCCTTCCCATTGATCTACTACTCCATCCTATCCTACGATCAGAGTACTTTTGATCCAATAAACTCTGCAAGGCAGATCAAGGTACTTTCGATTTTTTGTACTTTGCAAGGTCTATTTCATGAACTTAACAATCTTTCAACTGCAAATATTAATTTTTTATTTCGGCACGGAATAGTTCATCGATAGAGTCCGATAAAACATTCATTCAAAATTGTGGGAAATTTGCGGACATGATGTTGCCGCCAAAAAGTAAAGGTTCTATTATTGTGTCATTCAGAATTGCACTGAGTTGAAATTTTCAGTGGCCCAATACTGATTATTTTTTATGAAACCACTCTAGTTATTATGAAACTAGCTTCATCTCCAGAGAATGAATAAATTCTGGTTTGAATGGTTTCAAATTGTTTTCTTTAGACATCGCCTAATATTCTGCCTAGGTGAGTTCAAATATGAGCAACCTACTATCATTTGGAATATTTCTATAGTTATCTAATATAGTATGAGGTTTTTGAATCCATGCATATCTTTGAATGTCAAATTAGGTTTTGTGTACTTCTTTTTCAAAACATTTCCTCAGTATCGAACAGTTAGAATACATACAGTCAGGCCCACATGTTTCAAATAGTTGTAGAGAATTTCCTTATAGTACCTTGAAGACAAATCGAATATATTTCGAAACGTGTTAAATAAATTAATAGTAATTCTTCCCAAACCAAAATGATAATGTCAAATACTCTTACATGTAATGCAAACTTCAGTGAAATGAACGCTATTTGGCACAAGCATAAGGCTGCCGATACCCTCCGGTCTTGCGGATTCTGCTGTGAGATAGCAAGTGCTTTCTTCGTAATCCGTTCCTCCACCGTACGTGGCTATTCGACTTCCTGGTTGAAAATCGAAAGAAGAGCAAGCTCTGACTATATTGTTTGAAGATCTATCACGCAAACACAAATCTTGACATTTTTCCAAAACCATAAACGGTGGAGCACTGTCTCTCACGATATCGTCATCAAAACCTTGCAGTTGGATGTTTGGTAGTCTTTCGTACATTACTTTTCCATTCATTGATCCAGAGCCGCATGATGTTTGGGCTGAAACATTAAATGGAATCATTTCAGATAACTTGCTATTCCAATTCTCTTCTGATTCATATAACTATTTAGGGATATTTTTTTTTATTTAAATGATAATTTATTGTAATTTTTCCAATAAGAATCATGAAATACAAATCAATCAACATAATTTAAACTAAATGAATGGAAAGAGAAAAAGAAAAAAACACCTCAAAAGTGCTGCTTCGTTCCCGCCTGTTCATAAAAGAGGACATATGCCTCCCCACTCAAAGCGATTTTGGTGAAATTGTGGACACGTGTGAATCGTTGTATTCATGCCACGTGTCACTATAAGGGTGTCTGCAATATGCTGTATAATGCCCGTTGTAAGTAGTCCCACTGTAATTTGAAAGTGCATATAGATTATAACGACAAGGAGCTATATGATTTCCTGTTTAGTTTCAGAAGACGCTTCAGTTGATACGGCACATGATATTGTCAAAAGAATCGCATAAAAAAATTACAGGCAGAACCACAATAGGTGGATGCCGTATCAAATTCCCCCTTAGTGAAGTTGTATCCCCACTCATGTGAGAAAGTAACTTGGAACAACCGTCTCTAAAAAACTTCCAAATGCCACACACTGGGGCCAAATATTCCAATTGTTGGCAGGAACTCCATAAAAGAAAACAAGCAATCGAAGTCAAATAACGCACGATTGTAAAGTTGAATGTCTGCAGGCAATACGTATTGGAGCCCAGATCTAGCAGGCGTTCTGTTCAACTTGATTTGACGTTAGCTATTTTTGCAGCTGTGTAAGTTGTTAAACCATTGCATCGTAAATTTGTGTTGTTAGAACTCTGAGCATTATTAAAAATTTGATTTTGACATGGAGTGTTTATACACAGGTTAGTCTATTGACTCATAATTATAATTTGTTTGATATGCAAGCATAACATTATTGTTTGGCAGAACACAAGAAGTTCCTCTACAGGGTATTGTAGACCAATAAGATTTTAGTTCCAACATGAAACTCAAGAATTATCCAGACGGGAAAGAGAATATATAGATGCACAAATACAGCAATTGCGGCCACTGACATATGAATTCAATAACACCCATATTGAGGTGAATTTCAAATTGCTACTCACAATGGTTGACGGCAAGGTGTGTAATGCGCTCACGGAAACTACATCAACACAAAGATGTTTTATCTGTGGTCTCACATGCAAAGATTTCAATAATATTGAAAAAATCTCCTTTGCAACCGAACTGGACACAACTAGATTGGAATTTGGCCTTTCTGTGCTTCATGCATGGATACGATTTTTCGAATGTCTACTACACCTTGCATATAAACATATAAACTAAAAATATGGCAAGCCCGTGGAGAGAACAAGCAAATTGTAGCGACTACAAAAGAAATACTGCAAGACGCTTTTTCAATAATCCAGATATATCAGCAAAAATAACTGGGGTTAATATTGATATTATAAAACGATTCAAAATAATTCTACAAACCATATCAAGTGGATATGAAATAAATGTGGAGAGCTATCAAATGTATACTCTAGAAATGTCAAAACAGTTTATTGAAGAGTATCCATGGTACCCGATGCCACCAAGTGTACATAAAGTCTTAATACACGGCTCCAGTATTATAGAACATGCTATACTTCCAATAGGCCAACTGAGCGAAGAAACCCAAGGAGTCCGCAACAAAGATTTCAAGAGGTATCGCGAGTATTATTCTCGCAAGATATCATGTACTGCATATAATAATGGAAGGAACCCAAATATGTGGAGGAACCCAATAATGATCACGGCACCGATGTGTGTTTATGCAATCTTACAATGCAGAGACAATTATGATTCAATGCCTTAAAGAGATGAGCGAATCAATATTTTCACAGGGAGCCAAGCTGTACTTAGGGCATTGATGATCCCAAGAATGACAATGAGGTTGACATGTAAATACTGTTTAAAACTATGCGGACCGGATTAAATTGATACTGCACTGGATATAATGGACACAATGAAAAATTTCATTAGTATCTCAGACACTGATCAACACTTCATTTATTGGAGATGTGATCAGCGTGCTAGTACCATAATCTGTGGTTTGGGATAGGATCAGAGAAAATACACCTGAATATGAAAACGAGAACCTATCATGAAGGAATAATCAGAAAAAAATGCAGCAAGTAATGCAATACAAACTAGTATAAGATTGATGGAATTTCATGTAAAGATGGTGGAAAAACACAAATATCAAATAACAAATAGTACAAAATACTATTTGATAATACTCCCTATCAGACTGGTTTCGACGAGCTACTAGATTGAAAAAATGAAAATTGTATTTAAGTATGGATGTACTCATTTCATTATCGCATGTTCCCGTAGATTTATATTCCAGAACCTAAAATATCATTCAAAATTAACAATACCAATTGTCAGTTTGAGAAATATCGTTTTTTGTTATTTCTAGGAGCGGGTTCCTCAGAAATATGTATATCTAGAAGGGAATTATGAAATAAAATGAATGGTTCTGGTTATTCAAAATTAGAAGAACGAGTGAACGCCTTGAAAAATTTCGTCAAAATGCGTACAAAGTGTCCAAAACAAGGTTTACCGGCACTTCATAAAAAAATTTCGTTCTTTGCCCTGAATTTCAAGAAAAGAGGGCAGAGATCTAATCGAATTCATGACAGATTTGTTATGAAAAACGAAAACTGGCTGAATACTTCAATGAGTTTTCCGAATTTTATCATTTCATCTAAGAAAGCAGGTAGACCTCAAATTGCTTTCAGCGCATCTTCAGACAGAACAAAACGCCTAAAAACGGAGTCCCTAAGAAAAACCTTCTCGCCCGAAGAATTATCTTTCGCCTCTCATATGAGTTTGCGATGTTCTGGTCAAGTTGCAGCAGCAAGTGTGGTGAAGGATGTCACTCAAACAAGTCCGACGCGTGAAAGAAGTATAAAACTGCTTTCAAGTCTGATAGTGTACCCAAAAAGCTACAACTCACAGGAGCAGAGGCTCTAGCTATGTATGTTGAAGCCCAGCTAACAAGACACCAATATAATATAATAAGAGAGCAAGATAAGGAGAGATTTCCATCCTATAAGAAGATCCAAGCGGCGAAAAAGGAATGTTATCCTAATACGGACAGCATTATAGTAACAGAGACTTCTGCCGAAGTACAACTGCAAGCTCTTCTCAATCATACCGCTTCACGTCTCCTTGATGCTTAGCACGCAGTTTTGAGTAGCAAGACACCCAAGACCTTTCAGAAATTGATTTTAATTTGTAAGTGGGGTTTTGATGGATCAGAACAAGCAGAATATAAACAAAATTTCTACAGTGATCTAAATACCAGAGATGCAAATATTTTCATTTCCTCTCTTGTACCTATCAGACTGATATCGAAAAACCTCAGAACAACAGAAAATTATTGTTTGGCAGAACACAAGAAGTTTCTCTACATGGTATTGTAGACCAATAAGATTTTAGTTCCAACATGAAACCCAAGAATTATCCAGACGGGAAAGAGAATTTATAGATGCACAAATACAGCAACTGTGGCCACTGACATATGAATTCAATAACACCAATATTGAGGTAAATTTCAAATTGCTACTCACAATGGTTGACGGCAAGGTGTGTAATGCACTCACGGAAACTACATCAACACAAATATATTTTATTTGTGGTCTCACATGCAAAGATTTCAATAATATTGAAAAAATCTCCTTTGCAACCGAACTGGACACAACTAGATTGGAATTTGGCCTATCTGTGCTTCATGCATGTATACGGTTTTTCGAATGTCTACTTCACCTTGCATATAAACTACCGTTGAAGATATGGCAAGCCCGTGGAGAGAACAAGCAAATTGTAGCGACTACAAAAAAAATATATCCAAAATCAGTTCCGACATGAGTTAGGTCCATTGGTAGATAAACCAAAGCCCGGTTTTGGAAGTACCAATGACGGAAATTCTGCAAGACGCTTCTTCAATAATCCAGATATATCAGCAAAAATAAACTGGTGTTAACATTGATATTATAAAACGCTTCAAAATAAGTCTACAAACCATATCAAGTGGATATAAAATAAATGTGGAGAGCTATCAAATGTATGCTCTAAAAATGACAAAACAATTTATTGAAGAGTATCCATGGTACCCGATGCCACTAAGTGTTACATAAAGTCTTATTACACGGCTCCAGTATTATAGAACATGCTATACTTCCAACAGGCCAACTGAGCGAAGAAGCCCAAGACGCCCGTAACAAATATTTCAAGAGGTATCGCGAGTATTATTCTCGCAAGATATCACGTACTGCAACGAACGAAGATGTCTTTCACTTGCTCCTCATAACATCTGATCCTTTCATCACCAGCATGAGAAAAATACCCAAGAAGAAAGCAGTATCGCTCGAAAAAGATGTATTGTCTTCAGTGAAGGAACCAGATGTGGGTATCTCACAAGATAACGACAGCAGCGGATCATTGATGAGTAATAATTTCGACGAGTCGCTATGAAAATGAATATTTGTGTGAAATGAATAATTTAAGCCTTCACTGACAACATGCAAATAACAAATACCAATCTAGCACACTTTCCAATGTGACATTCTTCCCGAAAAATATGAAAAAACAGAAGATAATTTCTGCCAGCAATTCGTATATTTGGCCCCACTGTGTGCCGTGAAGTCTTTGGAAAGAAAAAGGTGTTAATAAAAAAATCATCTATTGGTTCTGATAATGATGACAGGGGTTCATCAGGTTATATTACTACGAACAAAAATCTCATGATCATTAACTAGAACATACAAGGTGGTCTTGCAGAACAGGCGGATGATCTCAACATTGTCATGCAAACCTATGAAGCAAAAGTTTTGAGCATCAGCGAGCATTGGCTCAAAAGTGAGGAATTGAAAGTGACACCAATGAAAACTATGAAGCTTATATCATATTTCACCAGGAAGAATATGCAACGGAAAAGTGTGTGCCTATTTGCAGACAATATGGAACTTGTTGTTTGCAGACCCCTAAATCATAAAAATTTCAATACCTTCTCTTATGTCAAACACCGACATTGAACAAATAATTGTGAATAGTAATGGAACCTTTAGTTAGCTTTATGAATATTGTACTCCGCAATTGAATGTGACCTATTCCATTTTTCTGACTAGTACGATAAAGCTGCATCTGCCTTTGATATTTGTCCTACAAGTGAATTTTGCTCTTGCAAAATTCACTTGTAGTACATTTCCACTGGCAAGAATCTTTATTATGATGTGACTTTTCTTGCAGAATTAGTGTAGCTACTTGGACCTGATTGAATTTTACCCGTAACCACACTTGAACCGAATACTACATTTGTCATATCTATAAATCTCAAGGGTGAAACTCCTTTGTTGATCCTCTCACTCCATCCGACATTTTCGATGTGTGATGATTCATCTGCTTCATTATATTGTTCCTTAGCGGTTCAATAATAATATAATTACTCGAAGGACCAATGTAAAATACTCAAGCATTTTGAACACGAATTAAAATTGGTTGGATGGAAGAGCATTTTGGTTGGATGGAAGAGCAAGGTCTGCTCATGTTGCGATTTCTCTATAGCATGGTCAGACATTGAATCCTGTCATTTGATTGAAGGTTATATTTTTGTTCATATTTATATATTTCTCTTTGTATTTAGTTTCCTATCAATGAAAGCAATTATTATTATCATCATTAAATAATTTGGAATTTTATCTAGATGAATCATTTCCTTCTTTAGCGATATTGTTTCATGAATGCAGAAGATCCTGATGCACCCGGTTAAAGAATTTGATTGCAGGAAGATATTTTATAGCCGGTGGATTGGCAATAAAGGACCTACTGAACAGCCAGCAAGATCACTGGATTTGATAACGTTTGACTTTTTTTCCATGTGTTATTTGAAGAGGTGAATTTATTTCAATAAATCTGCGTTTTGCAATAATGGACAGCTATTCGAACATTTAATTCAATCTAAGGGTGGGAGATACGAACAAATGGCAATTTTTGTCACCGATTTCATATGATTCGACCATCATTTCTGAGAAGCAATGCGACAGCGAAAGCTATCGGTAGAAAGGAAGTATATCATCCGCAATATATATGTTTATATATCAGTTTTTCAGTGATGACAGCTCCAATAAATATATTGGCATAAGATTGACTTAGAAATATGAAAATTATTCCAAACTGAAGTTTAAATATTTCAAATATTTTCAATGAGCTTCAACATTTATTTAGTTGTTTCTCAAAAATTGAAAAAGAAGCTGATCTACCGGGAATAATTATTCACTCAACTGTAGAGAATAAGCCCAACATGAATAACTGAATACCACGCATACGTGTTGTTCATGATTACTTTCTTGAGAAGGCGTATCGAACTGTGGAACGAGAAATTCTACGAAAAGTTTCTTACCCTTGGTCATCATCTTCAGTACCGTGAGAACAGTGATAGCTTGCACCATGCTGGGGATGTAAGGATAACTTCTCATTTTGGTCTCGTCAAATTTCTTTCTGTATTATCTGGACATACTTTCACCTCTGCAGAAAAACAAACAAATGACAGTTATTCACAGTTTATGCATGATTGGAGTAAATATTGTGGACAATACAAATTTATCGCTAGGAAATCAATCGATACAATGTCGATACAATAACGTCGTCGAACTGTAAATTCGACAAAACAAAAATTTTGGGAATTTGCTTCCGGCTTCCCACGCACGGAGGAAACTGGGTCATGTGAGATCGATTATATTTTATAACAATAGGTAAGTTAATGTTAATCAAACACATTTTTGTTCCGGTAAATATTACAGGGAGTACCTTGAAATATGTGAATCTCAAAATATTGGCTTATCTCACTAAAAAAAAAAAAAAACAAAACAAAAATATGTGAAAATATTGTTGAAAACTTTTTGTTGAAATAAATCCCTTGTCTTTTTTTATACACCAAATATTGAAACAGATGTCATTCATAGGAAATATTACGTGACTTCAAGATGTATTTCATTTTTTTGTGATATTGCTTGTCTTTTCAAATAAAGTGTCACTCGAGTATAATTATTTGTATTTGAAATTTTCGACATGAGTGTTATTGTGAGGAGAATATCTCAAAGAATATATCAATTACTTACATATTTTTCCGAGAATTTATTTGAAATTTTCTGGTTCTGCTTGTTCAAAACATCTCATAAATTTGCCATATTTTTCAGTTTCCTATAATCGGTAACAAACAGAAGTTTGATTCGAATTCGAAAAAATTGAAGACTTTCTTTTCTTGCATGGAAAAAATGTGCTAGGAATCGTACTTTGATGAGTGGAACCTCGTTAATCTTCAGCTCGAACAAGTTTCGATAGATTCGATAAAGTGATCATATACTCATACTTCATCTATCGAGGAGAATTCGAAACCAAACCTTTGCTTTTTCAATTGTGCTGGTAACTTTTTCAGGACTTTTTGTTTGGTCCTGAAATTGATATGTAGAAAAACGAAAGAGCTCAAACTTTTTTTTGTATCCGGCCAGCTTCCGAAACAGCAACAAAAGCTAAGAGAAGTCGAGGCCAACCTTAAGGAACACGCAAAGGTTTTTCTCGAGGAATACAATGTATTTTTCCAAGGCGTTGTTAGGCTCTATTTTTGAGTTAGAAGCGACATTTTGGTAATGTGTTATGAAATAATAAGTTGGAATTGAATGTTTATTGTTTATCATGAATCCAGTGAAAATAGTCCACTGACACGGAATTTAAATTTTTATTTTATCAATCTGATTTATTTTTGGTGGGTTACAGTTTCTCTAAAGTATTTTGAGGAAAGACAAAATGTCAATAGTAATTTGTTTTTCACAAATAACTAACTTCCCTTAATTAATTTCCCAGTGGTTTCGAAACCTATTTTTATCGAATAATGGCCTGATAAGTACCACTTTCTTGTGTTTTTATGGAAGCTTGGGGTTTTTCAACTAACTGAACTAAGTTTTTGCAACTGGCAGTAATATTAACAAGCTGCTTTTTTTTACGTGGAAGTACAATTCATATGAATTATGTTTCAAATGAAAATTCTTGAAAAACCTGCCAAAACAATTAGGAAAAAAATTTAACCAGATCATTGAATAGAACTGGCCGATACTTGATGAAAATCCAATACAAAAAACAAAAAAGCGGTTTTTGTAAAACCCTTATAGTGAAAATCATAGAATAAACTCTATTGGTTAGTTTTTTAACCTGATCAGACCAAAAACTTTCAACGAAAACATAAAAAAATCAGAACAAAAAATTATAAATAGAATAACATAAATGAGGTATATTTACCTATCCTTTGATGAAAGGAATCTAATTTGTATTTTTCGACGGCATGGTTTGGACCATACTGTTATAGCAATGATATCCGAAGCAGTAGTAGGAATCATAACTATAGTATGAAATAAAAAAGTTTATATATAAATATCAAAATACTTGCAGAATAAAAACAACGGGTCATTTAGGACTTGAATTCTGGAATGAGTTTTATATGAATTTTGGAAATGCTCTAAAAAACTGATTCATTTTGATTTTCAATATTAGTTCGTAAATGTCACCTCCAAAGTGGTTTATCTATTTATTCCACGCATATATTAAAAAATATCATAATTCATTGTTTAAATTCAACATATTTTAGCATACTTTGAAATATTTAATGGTTCATTTAACTGGTTAATGAATTTATCTTCATGCCTTATTTGGATCGAATTTTCAATATGAATTGGGTGTGGTTTTATTAGATAAGAGTTTTTGAATGGTGTAAACCATGTATATTTTTTATAGGTACTTGGAAGAAACGTTCAATTTAGAAGGACAATATCATAATGATGTGAATACGCTGCAGTTGAGGTGATAGGTTGTTTAAACGTTAAGTAACCTGGATTATATGATACTGAATGTAATTAGATCACATAATCTCACTCATTTATGAAATATTATCCATAAAATTGCAACGTGAAATGAATAAATAGCAAAAAATAAATCCCATTGACATTGGAACTTGGGACGACCGTGATGGGAAAGGAAGCCCAACACTGTATCATTGAGCATGAGACCCGGCAAATGTGTAGTTTTTTGAATATAAAAAAATATCGAGTATCCTCAGTCAAAACCAAGAAATAATCCTTCATAAGAGCCTAGTCGATTCCAATCTGAACTATGGATGATGTAGTTTGCAAAACTCACCAATACGTCATAAAAAATATCAACATACCACAAATGCATGTCGACCTAATTACTATCATTTAGGTCCAAAGGTATATAGTTCTCCACCCGAAGATCTGGGAAATGATATAATTCCATAAAAAATACTAACATTGTATTTCAAAAGTATACTTCGAATAGAAATACGTGAGTAATAAAAATTCAATTACCACAACGACTTACCACTTACCACTGGTTTGCGGTTAAAGTTCTCATTTAATGATTTAATATCATATACTTCGTTTTCTGATGTTTTTATGACATATTTTATTTATATCATTCAAAATATTGATAAGTCTTTAGCTCAATTCACTCTGACGCCTCAGAACGTTTAACTCAAATATATGTCGCTGTACCCACTCCATTTAGAGGGGTAATTAATACGTTGGTTGAGAAAGTACCACGTATGTGTGAACCTGAGAGTCTTCCTGAGAAACTAAATCACCTAAAAAAATGCCTCTCAAAGGGAATGGGTATAGTGAACGAGAATTCGAGTAGCCAAATAAGCCAGGAAATAGAACGCCAAAGTAATCATTGCTAGGCTCGTCAAGGGAAAAGCTTTCTTTCCCTTTGTTAAAAATGTTAAAGATCGGATTGGGAGAATCTTAGAGAAACACTAACCAATATTTAGGCTGTGTCCAGACTTTCGAAAGCATCCAAAAGTATAATGGCATGTACTGACCTCAACAATTCAAGGCAGTGTTCATTTATTTTATGGCTGTGTTGCGTGTTTTTTGAAACGAGTTTTATTAGCTGGTTTAGTCTGGCCCATATTTTTTGTCACAGTTTATTTCATATACCTAACATTTGTTGAAGTGAGCAAGCAGTTTCGAATGAAACTATAATATAATTCCAAAATAGTAGGCATTGAATTATCAGAAATTACTGTGACGTTTTTGCCTCAATCTATCTCTTGCAGTGGCGTACGAAATTGTACTAAACAAATTTCTAGTGTATTGCTAATATTTGAAAACTATATTTACAAATAATAATCAAATTATATCGATTATATAAATAACTATACACTTTGTCCATAGATGGAGTTGCTAAGAGGAGAACAATCTTTATTATTGATTTCATAAAAAAGAAGTCATTCCAATAAAAAATTTGCATCTTTTGGGAATAAGATTGACAAAAAAATCTGAGATCAGATGTACAGGGTGTTAGTAAAGTAATAAAACCTGAAAATGTTTCATGTGGAAAGTATGTACTATTATTATTTTACACAAAGTTTTGTTAAATGATGAATAATGTTTATAATTTGAAATAAGGCATCAATTCAAATTTTTAGATCAAAATTCCAATTTTATATTTAGATCAATCAAATGGTTTTTACGATTATTTGCAGCATTTCACAAAACATCAAGAAAATCGTTTCAGCATGAGTTTGCATCTAATTTATGTAGAATTCTCTCTCGAATATTATGGAATTTTTTGGCTAATTGCATCAACTTTTTGCTACATAAACCCCAGAAAGCGATACCAAACCTCATATGAGACTCGACTAATGAAAAGTAAGATGTTTTTCTGCTACTAATCCCAACTCCTTGGTGATGCCCCTGATAGCGTAGCAGCCAGATGCAAGTTTTTTGTTGAGATGTTTTACGTGTTCATCAAACTTCAGGTTATTATCAATCCATAATCCAAAGAATTTGGTGCACGTCTTATTTTTGATGACATGCTTCTGGAGGCTTAAGTTTCCCGAAACAAACTTAAACGAAATCATGTTAGTTTTATTCACATTGAAACATAAAGAATTGGAATCACACCAAGATTTGACTTTCTATAAATCAGTTTCAATTATATTCCTCAGAGAGTCCATGTCATATTAAAGTTGTATCGTCTGCAAACATTGTGAACTCTCCTTGTATCTCGATATTAGGTCATTCACATAGATAAGGAACAAAAGGGGACCGAGCACTGATCCTTGGGGGACTCCACAGATGATTTTTGGAAGACTAGAATTTTTGTTCTGCAACTTTACCATTTGAATTATATCTGAAAGATAATATCGGAACCAATTAAAGGTTGTTCCTTTGATCCCACGAAGGAACAATTTTTCCAACAGAACTCTGTGATCAACGCAATCAAAGGCCTTAGAAAAGTCGCAGAATACTGCCGCAGCCACTTCACCTTTATTGAGCCCTACATATAACTCTTCTATGAAGACAAATATAGCATCATTTGTACTTTGGATCTTTGAAAACCAAACT